TGGAATAGGTTGAACTCAACTCTTTTTTTAACGAGTTGAGGATAAACCCATTTGTCATTTTTTGAAGAATTAATGATATTTTTTAATTATATTTTAATGTTAAATAATATTTATTAAATTAAATTCATTATATATATAATTATTTATTCATTTAATTTACTTATATTTTTTTAGTTTATCTGAATAGGTATGGAATTTTTTTTATTTACTGAAATAATATATTTTTATTCTATTTTTCATATCTTTATTTTTATATTTCCTCGTCAAGATCGTGCAAAGATAGAGAAAGGGCTTTGAGATCGAGATGATGCTGTCGAGTAATCAATATATATTACAAAATTATCATTTTTTTTTATTTTATTTTTATTTAAAAATATTTATACAAGAAATACTAAAGAAACCTGTTTTCTTGTTTTTATTGGTTAATCTCCATCAATAAAATGATAGCTTTGTAATTATAAGTGAACAAAATTCTACTACTAAACAACCTCTTAATGATCTCTTTATTAACAAATTCGGATACATTTACATATAATTACATGTACAATAATTAAGAGATCATTTTATTGAGAAATTAACTTGGTTTAGAAATTAATTTTTGTTTTTAATTTTATTTTAATTATAAAATTATAAGTTTGTACATTTATTTTTTAAATACATGTACAATCAATAGTAAACGCAAATACATTTTTTCACTCTTTTATATAAATTTATAAAAAAAAAAAGCAAAATAAAAAAAGTAATATTTTTTTCAATTTAAACTAAAAATAAAAATATTCTAAATTCAAACAACTTTTTGAAGTTTTTTTTCTTTTTGTATAAATTATAAATATCATTCACTCAAAAGATTATTATCAACTCAAAACTCCTCTTTTAAGTTTTTTTATTAAAGTTTTATTTTCATCAATTCTTATTATATTCATGTTTAATGCATTGAGTTAAGATATTATTTTAATACGTTAAATTGTGTAAATAATCTATTATATGTTTGATTAATTACTGCGATAATAATCGTATGAAATAAAATATGTGTTAGGATAAGTTAGATAAAAATCAATTTTAAAATAATTTACTGTGTCTAAATTATGCAAAATAAATATTTTAAAGATAAATTTCAAAAAAATTAACTTATGTGTAATTATTAATTTTGTATTTAAAATAATTAATTATAAAATAAAAATAAGAAAAAAGTTACCTTAAAAAATAAGTTGATAACTTGTAATTGTAATTTTTTTCAAAATTTATCAAACAAAATTGAACAACATTTTTTGTGAATTTTTGTTTTCACATAATCTACAAGAATAATCTCTTTTTGTTTTCAGCAAAAACTTGGTTCATAATATATGATATTTTTTCAAAGTATGAGTATTATTGTAAATGGTTGTAAAATTGGTTCTAAAATATATAATAGGGATTTTTTTAAAATCATTTATAAGTTCCTTGCAACCATTGAAATGTATTAGGAAAATTGTCGAGAATGGCTTCTGCTTAATCATTGGTTGTTTTGAGTTAACTTTGGTATAATTAGTTTCTGAAAATAATAATCGCGAGTACAATGATTAAAAATAAAAAATTATTAAAAACAGCTAATACACGTTTTTCGTATTTTTAATGGGTTTTAATATTAGTTTTTAGTTTTCATTCAAAATCTCTAAAATACTAGATAATAAGATGCTTAGTTTTAAATTTATAATATTTTTTATTGTTGTTTCATTTTTAACTATAGAAAATTTTATTTATTTATATTTTACACATCTTTTTATTTTAGAAGATTTTAATTTAATAAAGTGCATATTCCAGCAAATATTATGCACTTCATGGAGGCAGAAGCTTGCATTAACAGTACACGGATTCGGATTATCCGCACTCTTGAGACGAACATCGACACTATGAGCACATTGAACCATCCAGGAAATGCAATTATCAGGGGCACTTTATAATTTATGAAATAAATTTGTATAAAAAATTAATATTTTATTTTATTTTTATTTAAATTACGATTTTTTTATCATACTAAAGTGTAATTTATGAATGCTACGTTCAGTTTACTACTCATAGTTTTATTTTAAATTTTTTTAATTTAAATTTTAAATATTCCAATGCAATTTAAAAACTCATATATTCATTCATGATACTAAAATTTAACCTTTGAAACAAAATCATTAGATTTTTAAGATTAGAATTAATAAAAAATAAAAAATAAAAATTCAAAATATTATTTTTGAAGTGTAAAAATATATGGTGGATTTAAATAAATAAACGCATTGTTCAGAACAATGCGTTTATGTTTTGATTGTATAAAAGTTATTAAATAGTAGAAATAACAAATTTCGCATCTGCTGTGAAGTAAACTTCGACCCCATTTATATATGGGCACGGACATGTAAACGTGGACAATAAATTACGATAAACCGGAGGACCTGAAGTCTTTAAATATTTTGCTTATGAGTTTATTTATTGAAATTGAAGAATTTCTTCCCTGCAGTAACATTTATTTAAAAAGAATACATTTTGTAACTGTTCATTGAATCATATTTTTTTAATCCGATAAACCTATCTGGTCACATAAATTAAAATAGTTTGAAATTTTAATTTATTTTATGTCAAACTTTGACTAAACTAGTATTTTAGCTCTTGAGAGAGTTTGAGTTTAATATTTTAGTCTATGAAACATTTAAAATATCATGTTAGTTCGCAATTTCTTTTTTCGATCATGCATTTTAGTCTTGACGTTAGACCCGATAAGAAACCGTTACAGAAGACTGAGCTGTCACGTTAAGTGCTACGTCAAAATCTTAATTGGCAGCAACAATGTTGTTTTGGAAGCTGGTGTGACACAAATAATTGCGAAACAGTGTTGTTGTCATTGAAACCCTTTTAACCTATGTTTGAGTATGTGGAGAAGTGGCTAAGGAGCGAAAGGAAATATTGTGGCACTCGTGAACTTGAGCCATGGTTACTTCGTTATCAGATTTTATCAGGAGGAAGATATGAGGGATGAAGGCCTGGATCAGAGTACCATGGAAAATAAACAACCTCAATATCTAGTTCTTATCTTAAAAGGTGGACATTGTCGGTCGGAAAGAGTAGTTAGGGATACTCTTGAATGTACTATACAGTAGGTTCTCAGTGCCCTAAGATCCTAATCCCAGATCGAGTTCTAATCGCAGAATTATTCTCAAGCGAATGGCTTTTATGTACTCAACCTTAATTCATTTAGTTACAATCTTGTAAGTTGGCTTATCTTAGGCAACCGACTGAGACGATGGCTTGAAACTTGGGTAGAAATAAGACCAAGTCTTGGAAGCAACAAATCGCGAGGCGTAAGCTGTGAGTCTTGAGGCAAATGTGGCATCTTTTGAACCACCGTAGTTAGGAAAAAAAGTTCATCTTTTTTCAATGCAACTAGAAGGCTCTTAGTACGCTAACGTTACTACCTACCTAGAGGATGTTTTTTGGTTTATGTTGGCCAAAGAAAGGGCTTCCCTATCAACACAAAGAAGAAATTCAATAAGAGAAGATTGGATTTCATCAAGAAAAGACAAAAACCGTATTGAGTGGGGTCTGCCCTAAAATGGGCCCTTACAAAGCTTCTCTATCAAGAGCTGCTAGTTGGTGGTTGAGGAGTAATAAATTCCGCATAAGCTACATTTCGTGGGGGAGGCACTTATCCAGTACTTCTAAACTCGTCTTTCATCTACAGACATTGGGTCGCTAGAGCCAATAGTTCAGTGTCCGGGCAATAGCCACTCATCTTTGGTTGTAGCTTCGGCACGAATAAAATACTACTTAGTCAAGTAGAAGGGCCAACCTGAGAGAGTGAAACTTACGATTCTAAGACCAAGTCAGAGACGCGTCTTGCAGAGCGACTCTCAACGAGAACATTGAGAATTTAAAAACAAAAGATTTTTTTTGTGCCACGCCAATCTTCTAAAATGACGTTGTTGCTGCTAAATAAGATTCTGAAGTAGCACTTAACGTGACAGCTTAACCTTCTTTGACGGTTTTTTAACGAAGTCTAATGTTAGGAATTAAAATGTATGACGGAGAAAGAAGTTGTGGACTATTGTGATATTTTAAATGTCTCAAGGACTAATATGCTAAACTCAAAATCTCTAAGGAACTAAAATGCTAGTTTAGTCGCCAAATTTTTATCTAAATAGTCACCATTAATTCTCAAAATTGCATGCTTTAATTGAAAATTCAATCACTACTTTTTTTTTAAGTTTTAAAAATTAAAAAGAATTGTTTATTTATTTCAAAATTCAATCAAAAAGTTACAATAAGTAAATGTATATTTTCTTGAAATAAACTACACCAAATTTACACTTAATTTTTTGAGGATTAAATTTGTCCTATTTTATTTTGATACCCCAGTATTTTCTAAACCAACTAGAGTAATCACTTTCTGAACTGTATTATTTTTCTAAACACTGATTGAACTGAATTGATTATTTAAAAAAATTTAACTAAATTAATTCTTTTCTTTTTCTTTTTCAACTATAACTTATGTCATAAATATATTATTTTTATACTATAGTTTTACAATATTATCTTTTATCATTTTTTATTTTGTTACTTAAGTCATTATATATTTTTTATTTCTTCATATTTGTCTTTCCTTTTACACATTGTAAAGAAACGAATCAAGAGCTACATTTTCTTCCCCGGTTATATTAAATGTTAAATCAAGTCAACATATATAATTCATAAATTTCAGGCAAATGCAAGTAAATTTTTCAAGACAAGAATAAAAAATATTAAAAATTTACTATAATTTTTAACAGACCTGAATTATGGTTTTAATAAGAAATTCTATTCAGTGATTAATAAATTAATATTTCCATAACACTGATTAGTGAATTCTAAATCCAAAGTACTAAAAGACCAATAAGATTAGGACAACTTAACCGACCCCTTTTTATATATATATAAGCACATCCAATGTCTCTCTTCAGATCACCTTCCCTGAAGCTCCTCGCTCCTCGCTCCTCGCTCCTCACTCCTCGCTTCCCTACTTCCAAAGTATTGTATTTTCACCCATTTTTTTCTATTTTCTCTTTTCTATTTTCACCCCTTAGCTTTAAGGACTTGATACACTAATGGACACAAAGGTTCTCTCTTCCGGAACCCAGTACTCAAATTTGCCAGAGAGTTATATCCGACCCGAATCCGAACGACCTCGTCTTTCTGAAGTGTTGGAGTGTGTAGATGTTCCTATCATCGATTTGGGTTCTCAAAACAGAACCCAGATTGTACACCAAATCGGTGAAGCCTGTAGGCTCTATGGCTTTTTCCAGGTTCTGCCCCTATCATTTTCTCAGTTTTCAATTACTATCTGAATCTATAGACATATAAAACAACTTTGACATATAAATATCCGAAGAATATCAACATTCGTTTGATGTTTTTTTTATTTTTAATATTGTTATATATATATAGTAGCGTTAACTTTGGGAAATGATATGATTTATAATAAATTAAACAGGTGATTAATCACGGGGTGTCACTAGAAGCAGTGAAGGAAATGGCAGAGGTGGCATATGAGTTCTTCAGGTTGCCGGTGGAGGAGAAGTTGAAGTTGTACTCAGAAGACCCGTCAAAGACAATGAGACTATCAACTAGTTTTAATGTGAACAAAGAAACGGTGCATAACTGGAGAGATTATCTTAGGCTTCATTGCTATCCTTTGGAGAAGTATGTGTCTGAATGGCCATGTAATCCACCATCCTTCAAGTAAGTCTTCGTTCTCTCTCTCCATTTCTCTCGAGTCTCGACCATCCATCAGTCAGTGGACAATTGCCAGCCGCTGACTTGGTCTTACAATGTGTCATGTTTTATCCTCATGTGACACTTTTGTTTTTATTCATCTAATATATATAATATATCATCATGCAGTATACATCATGCCTCTCTTTATTTAATCATTTCTTTTTATAATTCTTGTTTCTATGAAAACACAAACCTGATTTTTTTTTATTAGGATTCAAATTGTTTTTCATTTATACTTTTAATTATTAAATTATTATTTTACTTCCTATTTCCAACAGTTTATATGAAAAGCGGTAACAAATAATTTTACTGTTTCTCATTTAAATATTTAAAAATAAATTAAGTAATGTTTTATAAATAAAATGAAAAAAATAAACCAAATGATTCCCTGTTTTCTCCGTTAAATTCCTTTTTGTTTTTCATAAGCTAGTTAAAAATATAAAAGTAGTATTGTTGCAAAGAAAATTACCTAGAAAATAATGACAAACATAAACTTTTTAGTTATGCACGTGTATATTTTGTCTTTCACATTATTTATCATATTTTCTTTTGAGAAATTAATTGGCACCACTTTCTTAATAGGGTAATGTGGTCCTGTCAGAGATCATATGCGTATAATAAATAAATAAAAAGACTCCATTGACTGTTTTTTACTTTTTTATTGTTTTGTCTAACACTGTAACACATTCTAGCCCTTTTTAATTTAATCATAAAAACACTAACACGTGAAAGACTTTTTGACGCGTGAGTTAGAGTAATGAATCCTGATAATTTAATTTAATTATAAATAATTTAAAGTAATTATATAATTTTTAAACAAATTTTAATTTTAACTACAAATTATGTATGATTATATGATTAAGATTTATTTCTCTCAATTTTTAGAGGTGTTTGGGGGTATGATATTTTTAGTTTTTAAAAATTATATCTTCTGAGCATTTTAAAAATACGTGTCACGTCTTCAACATTGTTAAGGATGATATACAATGATTCTTTGAAATGTTTTAACAATTTATCATTTTTTATTATTTTTACAAAGATAATAACATATCAAAATAAACAAAATTTTAAAACTCGTCATTGCACATCGTCGGATTTTTTAGTTAATTATTGTTTTTCATTTTATATTTAATACTTAATCATTTTTAATGTAAATTTAATTATTATATATAATTTCATATCTCTTTTAAAATTTTAACCTAAAAAAATTATTTTATACAATTTTAAATAATAGGTTTTTTTAAAGTTATTATTCATCTAACAGATTCAAACATAAAATGTGAGCCCGCGATAAATTTTTCTTTCCAAACAAAGAAATTTAGAGAAAAATCGACACTGTATTTCTCAACTCGTCCTCGTGAGAGAATATAATATTTAGTTTTAATTACACATTATTTTTATTTTAATTAGTCACTTTTAATTTTCTAATTTTTTAAATATTTAAATTAATCTTTTCACTCTAAAATTTTATCTAATAATTAATAAAAATATCATAAAAATTTAACGTTTATTGATTTTTACAAATGAATAAAAAATACAAAATATTTAAATAAAAATACAAAATTAAAATATATAGAATATAATAAAAAAATTAATTTTAAATAAAAACTTGATTTAAATATTTTAAGAATTAAATATAAATAATTAAAATTAAAAAGTCAAATAAAATTAAAATTTAATTAAATTACTATTTAATATCATCGATGAATATTGTAACTTTTTAAAATTAGCTACACGATGAGCCGATACAGGCACACTGCGACATCAATGTTAAGAATATATTGGACCTGCGGCTGATGTGTAATAATTTCTTAAACGATTTTTTGACGTGTGTCGTTGCATATACAAAATAATAATAAAATGATTTTTTTATTGAAAGGTATAATAATATCATCAATGCAATAAATTTTATAATATTATGTATTTTTTCATAAAAATTTATAATACATATTTTGTTTTATTTTAATCGAACCAAATTAAACAACATACTATTTTTATATTTAATTCAAATGATTTGTTTAAACACAAATTTCATCACGAGAAGTTATGATCCGGTTAAGGATGATCATGTCGATAATTTGTATCAATTATCATATAATAAGTGCTCAAAATATAAAATTTATGAAAAATATTTAAGAAGTAATTTAGTGTTCGTTGATGATTGGTGAAGAAAAATAAAAGAAATACAAAAATTGTATATAGAAAGTTATACGACAAGAGAAAAGAGAAAAAAAAAACAGATAATAATTAATTGATAACAAATTTAATATTATAGAAGTTGTTGAATAAATTTATAAAAAAAATATTAACCTCAGTTTTTAGGATTAATTTTAAAAAATTCAAAATAATAAATTTTATAAAAAAATTCATTATTAAAAATATAACATTATAATAAATATTACATGTTCAGTAAAATTTTATTATTATATGCATAAAATAAGTTATAAAACAAAATTGAACAAAATTATAAATTCATTATACATATAAAAAATTATTTGACTAAAGCATAACTAAATGATATTATATATGTGTGTGTGTGTGTGTGTGTGAGAGAGAGAGAGAGAGAGAGAGAGAGATAAGCATGACTAAATGATATTATAATTTAAATTTCATAAAGTAATATTTTTATTAATAATAAGATAATATATTAAAATTGAAATATGATATTAAATAGACTTATATGTACATAGATCACAGGTGGGGGTTGATAATATGGTTGGGCATTGGTTTGGCGGTGACGTCAGTTGAAATTTGCGTGTTGACGTAACCTTAATTGATTGATCTTCCCACCTTTGAAATATTCTCATAAAACGCGCTCGTGTTCTACTAAATAATTATAAACAGAACCAAAACTTAACTCTTCAAACAAACACTAGATCTCTACCATGCCACGATGTTCCATTATTTAACTCACAAGTTCATATCAATACTGTCTTACTCGCACCTCCTACATATTTCAATCCTATTTTTACTTCAAAAATCTAAACAAAATATGTTATTTTGTAAACTATGAAAAAGTTATCGAAATAAATTTAAAAGTTCGTGATACTCCTAAATTATTTTTATAATTTTTTAAAAATTATTCTAGAGACATTTTATAGTTTTCCATTGCAATATTATTTTAAATAATTTACTTGGTTTTATTCAATAGTCAAATATCTGCTATGCATTTGAAAGTTACAATTTTAATCAGTTTGCTTACACTTTTTTTTTTTATAAGTCAGCATTTGATGCAATTGAAAATAAGTGGTTATTCCATATTATCCTATTAATTTAGAGGAAATATCTATTTTACTAACTTTTAAACTAACATGTTTTTATTTATAAAATCTTATAATATTTTTTTAAAAAATACTAAAAAATAAAGTATTGATTGCGTCTCTAGATTATTTATTAGTATTTGATATTAATAAATTCGTTTACTGTATATTAATTTAAATTAAATTTAAATCAGAACTAGAAATTAGAGCATCTTCAAGTTTTTAACTTGTTTTCTGGAACAAAACTACATTTAGTACATAGAATAGAAGTTCGTAGAAAGGTTACTAAGTAGTGCATATTTAGTTTAATTTTTTAAAAAATTAATTACTTATCTTTAATAATTTTTTGAGAATTTTATTTTTAAAAATTTCACGATTATTTTCTTGAAAAAAAAAAAAGCTAATCCACACATGCACCGTGAAGGATGAACTCTACAGATGACTTAGAATAAAAAGTTAATTTAACTAAAATTCCAACTCATCATTTTCGTGTTATTGAGTAAAGAGTTTTTTTTTTTCTTCTAAAGTTTGTTAGCTGGGATGGCCCAAATTAATGATCACTGGACTCTATTGTTTTCTTACTTTTCTTTCTTTTTGTTTCTTATGTGTCGAAGAGTTTGGGAATATTAATTTAAATATAAGATATAAAAATGTCATATATTAAAATATGTAATTTTAATGAGAATAATAAAAATATGAGACTTAAAAATAGTTATTCATGATTTTTAAATAACATAAATTGGTTTAAAAGATTGTGTATTTTTTAATTACATACATATATATATATATATATATATATATATATATATATATTGCTAATGATTAATTTTAAATTTTTGATATATATTATTTTTAAATATCAGAAGGACCTAAAATGAAACCAGAATGAATAACGAACTTCATTTTTCAAGTGAGAAAGAGAAGTATCAGCATCATTCCAATTATAGAAAAACACATATAATGAGTGCTCTCTACTCTTTTGGTCTTATAATTGCTCTACCATCACATCAATTTGTACAACGATACGATGCCATTTTACGTTTTTCACAAGTCTACTTTATTAAACCTTAGTTTTGTTTAGGAATGGGCTTCCCATAATGCAGGAGACTCTTCTATTAAACAAGTTTGTACTATCAATGTTTTCGGTTGTTTGAGAGATGATTCATTGGCAAACAAGCTAGCTTCCCACATAATTAACAACTTTGAGCATTGGCAGGGAAACTGTGACACAATACTGCAAAGAAGTTCGGGAATTGGGATTGAGAATACAAGAATATATATCAGAGAGTTTGGGTCTAGAAAAAGATTACATAAAGGATGTTTTGGGGGAACAAGGGCAGCACATGGCAGTGAACTATTATCCACCATGCCCAGAACCAGAACTTACCTATGGATTGCCAGGGCACACAGACCCAAATGCACTTACAATTTTGCTCCAAGATTTGCATGTTTCTGGCCTTCAAGTTCTCAAAGATGGCAAATGGCTTGCCGTTCGTCCACAACCTGATGCCTTTGTTATTAACATAGGCGATCAAGTGCAGGTAACTAACTCCCCCATTTATGATTGTCATGCCTAATTTGGTAACAAAATTTGGGTTTATTGAGCTCATTTCCAAAGGTCCCAATTCATTTCTCCTTTGAAGCAATCAAGTGTTAGCAAAAATTTCAAACATTGATCTTTTTAACATTGTACTTTTAATGGAATATAAAGGAGTGTAAGACATAAATAATGTCACCTAAACATTAGTTAAAAGTTTATTTTGCTTTAGATTTAGCTTTTCATTGCATGTGTTCTTTACTTCTTATTTTAGCTGTTCATGAGCGGAGCTTAGTTCACACTGCTTATGCTCATGTGGGTTTTTGTTGTTAGGCTGTAGGCCCAAACTTAAATTGTAGCTAAGGTCCATTTTTATAGTTAAGATTGGATAAAAGCATAAGGCAAAACCTAGAATATGATAAAACTTGAGCACTGATGCTATTGGTATAAATTTTTACTAATAAGAGCATTAGTATTTGCAAAGGGAGGATAACATTAATATATATTTAGGACAAATCTTGCTTCGTTTTTATAAAAAATGGAAAGGGAAATTTAGGGCACAAAATGAAAAATGTTAGAATGCTCCTTAGAGTTGGGTTTCTTTTGTGGGCTATTTTGTCTTCAGAATTCAGCCAACGCTAAACTACCCATAATTGCAACAACACTTTTTGATAATTGATATAACCCTTGAGTGTTTGCAGGCTTTGAGTAATGGCCTTTATAGAAGTGTCTGGCACCGGGCTGTTGTAAATGCTGAGAAGCCCAGACTTTCTGTGGCTTCATTTCTTTGCCCAAATGATGAGGCATTGATAAGCCCTGCGAAACCACTCACAGAAGATGAATCTGGAGCCATTTATCGAGGATTTACATATGCAGAATACTACAAGAAGTTCTGGAGTAGGAACCTAGACCAAGAACACTGTTTGGAACTTTTCAAGAACAAGTAGCCTTTAAGTTGTGATTGGCAAGAACCAAAATAATGGTAATAATTAAAGAAGGGAGGTATTAGACAAAAAGAATGTCTTATCAATACATGAGGTATTAGTGCAACAAGAAAATGCACTAATAAAACAGAAAAAGAAAAAGAGAATTAACAACAACACTGAGCTTCAAGGAGTGAGGATATAGGATACAGGAAGGGAGGGATTAGACAATAAGAATGTCTTATATATTGTCTTTAATCCCTCCCTTCCTGTATCCTATATACTCACTCCTTGAAGCTCAGTGTTGTTGTCAATTCTCTTTTTCTTTTTCTGTTTTATTGTTAGTGCATTTTCTTGTTTGCAAATTGGAGTTGGTTACGCAACTTTATGTGTCTAATCCCTCCCTTCTTGTATCCTATATCCTCACTCCTAGAAGCTCAGTGTTGTCAATTCTCTTTTTCTTTTTCTGTTTTATTGTTAGTGCATTTTCTTGTTTGCAAATTGTAGTTGGTTACGTAACTTTATGTCAGACCCTCATCAATTTCTCATGTATTGATCTAGCTCAAGACTGAAATGCTTATTAATTCTTTTGCTTCTTGTGGAGCAATCAACCTTTAGTAGCTTTATGGTAGGAAGAGAAAAACTGTCATGTAATATTTGTATGTTGAACCTTCAAAATTTCCTAGTGCTGCTCAAGCATTCTTGGTCTTAGAGAAGCACTAAGGAAAAGTGTCTTTTAAGTTTAGAACTCTATTGTAACAATTCTGAGAATGATTTTCCTCAACTTTGTTTTAAGGGTTGCTTGCTATCTTTTTATACACTGAAGAACCATTGCTCATGGTGCCCTCATTCAAAAAGATGATCATGGATTTGCTTTCAAAGAAAATTATAACCATGTTCAGTGGAATCTTATTACTATATAAGTTTGTATTGATAATAACCTGTTGATTAACAGAAAAAGCGATGGCATTAAAAAGAAAGCACAAAACTATAATCGACAGTATGAAACTTGTCATTATTTTATATATAGGAGTATACAATGAGCTTTGTTTATTATTCTTTTCCTACAGTATTTAAGAGAAAATTACACTTTTCCGGGAAAGCTTTCGTAGGTAGCACCACAACCACAATCTCAAAAATCAAATGCAACTGACATGAATCCACGCCAAAAGTACTTAAGCCTTCTTAAGAAATTCCATGACGTAGGTATTGAAAGCACAACAAAGGACTCGGAAACCTTTGAATCCAGCCCCTTTGGCCAGAGCCTCAAACTCTTTCTCCGTTCTCTCTTTCCCACCTGGATTGTGAGCCAACATGATCACATCAATGTGAACCACACCCTTTGTGGCCAAGCTTGAGTCTGGAGCCACAGGAAGAATGCATTCTGCCACAATCACTTTCCCATTATCTGGAAGTGCCTCGTAGCAGTTCTTCAAAAACTTCAAGCAGTGCTCATCACTCCAGTCATGACAAATCCACTGAATTTATCAATGATATTAATGTCATTAGCATGAATAAGTGGAGCATTATTTGAGGTATCAAAAGTTTTGGACTAAGCTTGATTCTGACAAAAGAAAACCTTGAAAGGGAATTTCATGTTAAACATTACTAGACTTTTTAATCAAATTGCCTTCAACGGGTGAGCAAAAAGAAAACAAAGGCAATGAAGGGGTTCAGATTATAAAATTCACCTTCATAAAAATAGCATCAGCTTTTGGAACACTGACAAACATGTCTCCACCCACATGCTCCACACCTACACGAAACACTAATGTCAATTATAGTGCTAGGTTACCTTTGACCGACCAATATTATTCAAATATATAATGTCTAACACTAACAGCACATGACAGTGCTAGGTTAACTATAAGCAGAACATCTAAACATGAATTCAACTTAAAATACCTGGATATGATGGAGCATCTTCAATGACATGTGGCAAATCAAAATTAATGCCCTTAATAGTGGGATACTTTGAGACAATCATGTTCACTACTGCTCCAGTCCCACCACCGACATCAACAAGAGATTTAAGACCCTCAAAGCCCGGGTAGGTCTCCAGAATTTTCTTCATTGTGATGGTAGAGTGATCAGACATACCCTTGTTGAAAACCTTGTTAAACCTTGGATCTGTTCCATGGTATTCAAAGGCTGTCATTCCATACGCCTTGTTAAATGGAATCCCCCCTTCAAGCACTGCATCTTTCAAGTAGTACCTTCATCAACAGAGTCATGTCAATCACTGATTAACTGTTTACCAAATGATTCAATTCAATTATTTAAACATAAACGTGTCGGTGTTGCAAATTTACATAATATCCATACAAATACAGCTAATATCACTCGTTAGTCATATATAATTTTTTATTTCTATATAATTTAATGTTTAAAAACATCAATTCAATTCAAATTCTATTCTTAACTAGTTTGAAATAATTTTAATCATAAAATATTAAACATTCATAATAAATATTTCTTCCCAATTTTAAATATAATCTTTATTAAAAAAAACCTTGCATATACAAAACCTTTTAAATCATCATTTAATTATTTATATTTTTAATTCACATTCTACATGATTACGTAGATCTTACTATATTAATTCACTTCACTTTAGAGGGAAAGTAATTTTAACAAAATGATACATGTTACTTCCAATAAAAAATAATTTTAATATCTTCAAACTAATCGCTTCCTTTTCATGGGTGAATATTTTTAAATATTTAAGAAAGATTTTCAAAAATTTCATTCAGTTAATTGTATAATTGATAAGATAAAAGTATATGATTACGGCACATGGCTTGCTTTAAAAATAAATTAACAAAGTTCTCGTACTTAAAGTATTTAAGTTAGTTCAACCCCTCTCAACATCATACAGACAAGTACAGAAAACACAATTGAAACTTGACACGCAAGTTGGAGCATTATGTTATTTTCCCACCGTTCATATTAGAGGCTTACAAGAAGATTGGTTCACACAATATTGGGGTAGGTGAAATGGTGACCTCTCGTAGTGGGTCCCGTTGCCATTTTATAATTTGAGGCTTTGACTATAAGCAGAATGTTTGTGGACAATATTCTTCGATATTCATCAAAGTTGTTTTAACCTACTCCCAGTCCATTTCTTCAATTTTTACATCAAGTCTTACGCTACCTTATCAATAGTAAGTTATTAATAATCAACACATGTTTAAGGATTATAATATACATTAATTTAATTATTAAATGATAAAGACTGTTCATCACTAACTAATTTATTAATAACTAACTGCTGACCAGGTGTTAAATTTCATGTTTAAAAGAAACATTTTCCTTCAAGCATTCTTTTTCTAGATGGTAATCATCGATAGGGTATTCATGGGCATATAAACAAATGTTTCTGTGATTGGCACTCTTCCTTCGAGAAATTTTTCTTGTCATATATGATCATATCTATATGACTTTCACATTTCTGATTCGTCTCTATCTTCAACAAATCACTAACTCATTTCATTTCAGTTTTCGATTTATTCTTACATTTAGTTATTTATTGATACAGACAGAGAACTTGCAACTCTCAATAAACAGAGTACTCTCCTCTTTCATTTTTCTTCCCTTCTATTTTTTCCAAATAAAAAACTTGCTAAAACACCATGCCCAATATGAATTAATAACATAGAATAACACAAAAGCATAGAATATGATAAATGGCAAGACTATAGTTTATAAGGTTAAAGCAAATATTATAAATTGGAGTTGTTAGACAAGTAAAGCAGAGAGGGAAAGGTGAAAATACCAGCTTTCCATGAGGACTTTGTCTTGGTTCATGAGGTTAAGAGCAGAAAGAGAAACACCATCTTCATTTTTGACCAAGTACTTAGCAACAGGGGCGAGACCATAGAGCCTCTCAACCTTTCCATCAGGGAGAGTGCGAAGAGAGTGAGTGAGGATATTGTAGCAAGCCAAGAGGCGTAATATGCGATCCAACATGATGGGTGCATCAGGGTTGGTGGTTGGTAGCTGAGAAGCAATGTGAGTGGGTGAAAGGTAAACGCCAGGGCCAGCTTTGGCAATGATTTCTAAGAGATCAAGCTCAATGGCTGATTTCAGAACTATTGGAAGTACTGAGGCACTGGCTAGTTGCATGGCAAATAGGTTTGCCTCTTCATCGGAAATGTGGGTTGGAGTTATCTGGGTCTCTCCTGTTGAACCCATCTTTCAGGATTTGGTTCAGATTGTGGGGCAAAATTAGATTACAAGCGTTTTGCTGTGAGTTGTGGTGACTTCATGGGTGCTGAGTGAAGTGCCTATATATGCATAGAAATGTTCAGAAGTGATGTTTATGGCCCACCCACCTGCTTGTGCCCCACCCCAACAACCACACCAAGGCCCCACTGAGAGCATGCGTGTGTATGCTAAATTGCTAATATCTTCATATAACATACTGCCACTGAATATTCAATTAAGAGGAGAGGACAGATAAAAATAAAATAAAATGCTTTCACAGAGAAATTGACAATTTTTAGCCAAGTGATTTTTGTTTTATTTTCATTAGGTTTTACATTTTGGGGAGATTCTGCCCTGTTCAACAGTGATTTGGACAAGATCATGAAACTATTTGTTTTTGTTGAATAGAAATGAGAAATAATGATCTTTGATAATTTTGTCACTGTATAATTACTTTTAAATAGGACCATTGATAAAAAAAAAAAAATGTTACAATGAAATAAAAGATGGAATTACTAAAATTCAATTAAGAATATGTCAGGTCATTTAGGAATAACCTTATCAAGTTTCAAATTATCATTCATTAACATTGATAATTAGTTACTAAACAGTAAATGCCAAAATGAAAAATACTTTTTTACCACGAGATGAACGTCACCTTAAGAAATACCATATGTATACAAGTCTTGTGTATATAAATTAAGTGTGATAGAACATTATATAATATATTCAAAAGAGTGATTCGAACAATAAAACTCTTGGACGGGTTGCATAGAGCCAAACCATAGTGATTCTTTTTTATTTTGAAGTGACAGTTGGTGAAATTTCAAAAAATGTGGCTGTGTGCTTGGAAGTGTTAGAAACCTCTGACCCAAAAAAAATAAAAAATAAAAAACTCTCACAGCTTTTTAAATATATTATATAATGACATGCAAATAAAATTCCAATGAGGAGGATTTTCCTTCTGTGTCCTCGTTGAAAACGGGGCATCTACGTTTTGCTTAATACGATAGTATGTCAAGTACATTATTTAAGAGTCAGCATTTGTACATCTCTCAAGTCTAAAGTTTTTTGAGTACGTAGACAATTGCTATTCAAATTCAAATATTCATAAAAAGTATTTATATTTTATTAATGAGTGGGACTACATGGTTTGAGATCACGGAATACACTTTAATTAAATATATATTTCATATTTTATAAATTTGACGATAAGATCTTTCTGAATAAAATAAAAGAGCTTAATATTTTTGTTTAAATATTGTTATTAATTTAATTATTTAATAAAAATATTTTGCATAAAAATTCATTTATAAAAGAGCGATAATAAAATTTTTTGAAGTACTCATGGTTTGATTTGTTAAATATATAAAATATTACGACGAGCCTCGATGTTTGCACGCGTTACTTTAATCTTAAACATGAACTATGGTTGTGATTTATTTACTGATTTCTTGTGATTCACTTAACTTACCTAATATGGTGAGCAAATTGATTGCTGCAAGTTGGGGCCACGCAATGGTTTCATAAAGACATGCATATGATTGCCAAAAAGGTTTTATTTGCTATACTTCAATTTCAAAATTCACAAATGAATCACAATTTTGTGGAAGAACGATATGTGAGTAAGTTGACACATTAGAAATATTAAAATTATATATATATCATTTGCAAGGATCAAATTGTATATTTATTTTTAAATGTTTAACATATTTTTTTATTTCAAGAAAACATCATTGATTTTTAAATTACCATATTCAAAATATATCTATAAATAATATTGTTAGTTTATTATTAGTAGTATGACAAAAAAAAATATTTTTTATTGAGAAAACTTCAGGTGATGTTTGGTTTATTTTATGTTTTTATTCTCTCATTTCTTTCATTAAACTTGTAAACAAACGAAGCAATGTAATAATTTTGTAATTTTAATAGGAGAATCACTATCTTAAAATAAGAACTATGGTTAAATGATTAAATTCCCAGCATTAAATGAAATCCAAAATTCTAAGAATAAAAACTATTCAATTATCATAAATGAAACGTGAATTAAGTAAGATAACAAAATTCATTGTAGTTATTCTACCCCAGTTTATTGAGAAAGATGACATCCTACTGGGTTATGGTAGCATTTTCACGTCAGGGCAGTTAACATCTTACCTACCTTTAATAAGCTAACATTTAATTTGGTTCGTCAACTTCTTTGAAAAATAAATGATTATATTATATGGTGAGGTCATTATGAGATTTCCTATAAATAATTATCGTATGAATTTTAAGAAAATGAAAAATTTCCCCTCCTTAATGACCGTGTTTCAGAGTGAACAGCAAGGGGAGTTGCTTTACTGTGTTACAATTCTATTTTATAATTCTAGTGTTTTATACTTTTTATTTATCAAAATAGTATGAATCTCTTTTTTTTGGATCTATAAAACAATGCGAATCATATAAATACCTAATGTATCTATCTACCTCACCTAACTAGATTCACTCATGGCCCAATTTTATTATTGATACAGTCCTGGGCCCAAGAAACCACATTCTAGATGCAATTTCCGCAAATGCAAAATTCAAAAAATGTAAAATTTTGAACATGTAAAAGAAAACTTTCGAATAATAGAGTATGAAAGTTACTGTTTTGAAGTTTTGGAGATTAGTTTTTGAAATCTTTTTATTACATACATACCATAATCAAAATTCTAAATTATGCTAGTTGTATTCTTAGTTTAAATTATATTTCATTTTTGATATTTAGTTTTCATAAATTTAGTCTAAGTGGAGGAATATTTTTAAAACATAAATTTACAAAAAAATATATAAGTAGTGCAATTAATAATAATAATAATAATAGGTGCATAAACTAATGTAACCTTGAAAGCCTTAGCTTCAGGTGAACTTGAAAAACACAAGCGAAACTACATTTGCAACGACGTCGTATTTGTGAGGGAGCGCGAAACTCATAAGATTTGGAATATAGTATTTAGATATTGTTTGAGCTTTGAATTTTGTAGAGTCCAATTTGGGAAGGGAAGGAAGAAAAAGAAGAAAAAAAATGAAAGAAGAAGACGAAGATGAGAAAAGTCCAGCCCTTTCATCCCCAAAAGAGGAGACTCCAATTAGAGGCATAGTTTGTTTGAAAATAAAAGAAGACATTATAAACATTTTGAGGAAATCGAGGAGTGCTTCATCATAGAGTTCGATCCATCTCACTCACTTCACCTATCCAAGCTTTCGTTGGACCACCAAAATGAACATCGCGATGATGTCTCCATTGTTGCTGAAAAGGGTCTGGTAAACATACTATATGATTTTACAGAAGAAGCAGGATTTGAAAGTGAGAATACAAAGGAATGAAACTGAATGATTTCATTATTATCATCTTATTTACAATTGTTGAGATACATCAATATATAGATGCAAACATTTCAAACTTGAGTTAATCAAAGACTAACAAACTCACTAACCGCACATCTAACAGACTCATTGACTCTTATCTCTAACACCCCCTCTCAAACTTATGGTATCTAAATTTGTAACCATAAGTTTGTTTCTGAAGTCATGAAACTTGATTGCTGAGATGGGTTGAGTGAGGATATCAACAACTTGAAATTCTGCTGGAAGATGAACAACAATTATTTCACCATTTCGAACCTTATCTCGAACAAAGTATAAATGCAACTCAAAATGTTTGGTCCTGCTATGCATTACTGGATTAGCTGTTAACTGTACAGCACCTAAGTTATCACAATAAATCAATGGAGTAGGAACTTTAATGCGAAGCTCTTTAAGAAGAGACTGTATCTAAATCAATTCAGTTGTTGTAGTTGTTATGCTTTTATATTCACCTTTTGTGCTGCTTCTGGAAACTGCATGTTGTTTGCGAGAAGACCAAGATCAAGTTCTGTCCAAGATAAACACAAAACCCTGTGGTAGATTTTCTGTCATCAAGGTCTAAGCCCCAATCAGAGTCACAAAAGGCCATTAGCTTTAAATCTTTAACACACTGCAAATGCAATCCATGATGAATAGTTCCAATAATGTATCTCAATACGTTTGACAGCTTGCCAATGATGTTCTTGTGGAGAATGCATGAACTAACAAACTTTATTTACAACAAATGATATTTTAGGTCTTGTTATGGTAAGGTACTCACAATGGACCTATAAAAGGAAGGATCTGTAACAGCTGTGGTGGAATTAACTTGAAGTTTTAGATTAGCAACCATAGGAGTGGGTTGAGGATTTAATTCACTCATTTTTGCTTTGTGAAGAAGCTCTCTAGCACATTTGGTTTGAGACAAAAACATACTGCCATCTTTATTATGAACTAATTCAACTCCTAGAAAGTAATTCAACAAGCCAAGATCTTTTAAGGAAAATTGGCTGTTTAGTTTAGATATTATTGAGGTAATTTCACTAGTATCAGAACCAGTGATAATAATATCATCAACATATATGAGAATGAATAAAGCAGAAGTAGGAGTAAATCTTATGAACAGAGAAGTATCACTTCTAACTTGATGAAAACCCATATAAGTTAAAGCAAGACATAGTTTATGAAACCAGGACCTTGGAGCTTGTTTCAAGCCATAAAGTGCTTTATTTAATTTGTACACTTTGTCCTTCTTCTGAGTATTGAAACCTAGAGGTTGAGACATATAAACAGTTTCACGAAGATCTCCATGCAAGAAGGCATTGTTGATGTCTGCTTGATGAATTGACCACTGTTTGGAGAGAGCTAGAGTAAGAATAACTCTAATTGTGGTTGGTTTTATTACTGGACTGAAGGTCTCATTAAAATCAAACCCTACTTTCTGATGAAAACCTTTGACAACTAATCTTGCCTTGTGTCTCTGAAATGTACCATCAGCATTATATTTTGATTTGAAAATTCACTTGCAACCTATAGGTTTGCATCCTGATGGAGGATCAACCAGAGTCCATGTATTGTTCCTCAAAATTGCATCATACTCCTGTTGCATAGCTTGTAACCATTCAGGTTTTGACAAGGCTTCTCTAACTGTATGTGGTTCAATGGTAGGATCATAAGTGCTCG